TGCTTTGAGAAGGTTTACTAGTCTAGCGATCTTTCGACGTTTGCCTAAGGGTTCCCACATCTCAGTTTAGTGTAGTGACGATAGAAAAATGAAATTCTGTTGTTTACGTCTGTCATCGCCTTCTCGGAATCTCACGACTCGAAGATGCATAGAATTGGAAGTTCGTAAAAAAGGAAAACCTGGTTTTAGAACCATTATTGGAAAGTATTTAATTATTTACACGTCCAAAAACAATTAAAAACTGCCTGTGACCTACTACATAGAGAAGTTAATTTGTGTACGGTTTCTTGAGCTATGGGATATCGATCTTAACTCACATGCACCTACCAACGAGCGTTTTTGGCAAGAAATGGTGAGAAAATACTAGCTTCCGTGCAATAAAAAAGATTTTTAGAGGCAAGTCAGCTACATATTTCGGCTTTTATCCATTATCATGTCTTCCGTGACGGAAGATGCCATGACAACAGGAAGAACGATTATTTGAGTAACTATATTATTGCGCTCAGGAAATGTTCACAGATAGTGAAGCTACATTTCTGAAGTGAAATACAAGACCGTCATGTAGTTTATACCCGAAACATTACCGATTATTATAATTATAATATAGCTTATTAATAGAAATTATAATTATAATTATTATTTTTATTGCTATTATTATTACTTTATCTTCTACAGACAGTGTTTACGTTATTTTTATCTATCGTTGTTTTCGAATCAATACTCCTTACCGTACATTAATGCATGTGGGACTAAAATGCAATTCATGAAAAATGGCACAGACGCATGAAGATTATATCACAAAAACATTAGCGAAAAAGACATTGTGTCGATGTGTTAATAAGAGATTATTACAAAAAATAGATGATAAAAAAGTGCAGCAATGTCGAAATGAAAGGAGAAGAAATTGTCAAATAGAAAATTATATACAAACAACAAAAATTGTATCACTGAAATTATTCAAATCTGAAAATAACAAAAGAAAGGAGAAAATCTAGTAGTGCTAAAACATCACATACGTTCTCAAAAGTAATAAAAAACACAGGGATATAAACAGCGAGAAAATACATACGTTTTAAACTTTCTTACGACTATTAAAAACAGTTTTCCACATCAATATTAGAAATGTTGATTACGTATCTACGGCAGATATTTTTACATTCTCGCTAAGACGTACGCAGTACAGAAAACTTTTTGTAATGCTGCGGCGAATTTTCGGCAGAAAAACTCTTGTAGCACTGGTAGCGAAAAAGTGGATAAATCCAGTTGCTAAATATAAAAAGTCCTCTAACAAGTGGTGAAATCAGAATACTTCGTTTGTGGTTCCTGGATACCAAAAAATCAGTTGACCGCAAAACGTCTCTGTCTGTCCGTCTGTGAACAACGTTCGGGGTTAAATCGTTCAGCTAATTTTCTCCAAAATTTATATTCCCCAAACGATTTCTCTGATATCGCGACCCCTTCAATTTTTCTAATGTCATGGCCGATATATTAATTTTGGGCAGTACTGTTCATGAACGTTTGAATTTAAAAAAATATTTTTCGCGCTTGGTTTATTTCATAATATTTTAAATATATGTTGAAGAGGAATACAAAAATTGTCATATTATAATATTACATAATCATTATTATCGCAAGAAATTATGTAATGTTAGAGCACCACTTGTTTTTCTTGAACTTCTAGGTTGATTCTAAACATCCTGGGTAATGCAACGGCTTATAAACTTCAACCAAGTCTGTCATCTGCTCATTAACGGCCCAATGACGTTAAAAACCACAATAAGCTTGTATAAACGCGAGGGGTGCCGGTCGTACCGCTTCGTAGCTCGGGATTTCCTCGTAGATCTTGGGGGCCTCCAAGGAGATTTCCTCTTCCTCCTCTCCCGTGGGCTCCGGCGGCAAGCGTAGAAAGTCTACGAAATAGTACTCGCCGAAATCCCACCATTTTTGGTCGTCGTGGGGCATCACCTCACGCACGCAGCGGTCCAGATTGCCCTCGAACCAATTGCGGTCGTCCTGGTTGGTGAAGCGGTCGGAGATGACGCGTCGCGACTCGTGCGCCCACAGCTTCAGCATCGTCGTAGGCGTCGGCAACTCCGCGTCCTGCCAGCAGAGAGCGGCTCTCAGACGACCTGTTCTTTTATTTTCCCTTAAAAAGTGTGTGTGACGTGCTTCGGATAGAAGTGTATTCTGTGAACATTTTCTTAATTATGGTCGAGTCAGTATCCCAATTACATCAAGATATCATCGTCCATCAAGTTGAGGCAAATCAAATTCTATCCTTTGTGTATTATCGATATCTTTGCATGATTCCGAATTTTGATACCCTCATTTTATACAACTTTTTCGTAATTGTTTTTGTAATTTACGTAATTTCGTAATTAATCCGGTATATAACAGAGGTCAGCCATGCCAAAACAACGATGGTATTTCTTTTGTGGTCATCAAAAAATGCTCCATCCCAGCAATGAAATGCACGAATATTGACGCTGCTGAAATATTAACAACGTATTACTTCCTTCCGCAATAAATATCTCATTTTTTCATACACATTTCGCGCTCTTTCCAATTGCTTTATATTTAGCATTCACGGAAGTTTATTGAAAAATCATGACGGTATAAGTTTATTTTGATTTTATCCCGAATATAAGAACAAAATACAGCTTTTGGCTAGATAATCTTGATAATGAAAGGTACAGACTTTGGCAGGTGTGATCGAGGCTCACCTGGATGTACAGAATGCCTTGCCAGATGCGCGACAAATCGCGCAGGTTGAAGACATAGTGGAACTTGGCTGGCGTCGGCAACATCTTCGCTTTAGTTAGCTGCCACATCCGTCGCGTCAAAACAATCTGTGTAAAAATAAAAATAAAAACATGAAGGAACAACGAAACTAGCTACAACCCTGCTATTACATCACACTATACGGACAATCGAAATACCCATAAATTTCATGTCTGTCGTTCAGAACTTATAATCTATGGCCAATGGAATGAGGGAGGTCTAAAAATTTTGGAACAGTACAATTACTCTTTTGTGAATACAAAGTGAAACAGTTTTCTGTAAATACATTAATAAAATAAATAAAATGGAAGACAGTAAAGGTGTCTAAAAATAATACGTATGACTCTCTTTACTTTCAGGATTGCGTTACTCGACCTAACGGCTTCGTGGCGCAATTTTTTCTACTCGCAAAATAAAGTGTCACGTTTACTACTCGTGTCAAAAATAATTATTCCCATTTCAGGAATATCCAAACCGGATATTTCCGCCAAAACTTGGTTTCTTCGAAAAACAATGTTTTACAGCATTATAAAACTTTTTATTTATGAGAAAGTAAAAACAACCGTCGCAGACTTTTGAGAAGGGAGAGTGCTTTCCAAATGCTCACCAGCTTTGGGACAATCGCTACGATTTGCGGCTTGAATCGCGTCGAGCAGAAGTAGCCCTCCGCGATGACAGAGAAGATCTTGTCCATGGACGCGTTGGAGGGCAGCGTGCAGTTGAAGATGTTGAACTGCCGTTTGAGTCGAGGCGGAACGTCGTTTCGTCCACCTCCCGGATGGTTCATGGCAGCCAGCATCTACGAAAGTACCTATATAATTCCTAATAATAAAAAATAGTACACATAGGTTTATTTGTACTAATACGTATGAACCAAATAATTCACAATAATTTGATTTGTATTTTACCGAAAATACAGAAAATAGACTTAGTTAAATTTCCTCATCCTGTTTATTGGAATGAACTCTAAATATCTTCTTAATCACATTTCTCTGTTGCAAATATGTTTGCTTACTTTGTCCTCTTTGATTGTTTAAAGTCAAAGTTTACGAAATTGAGATCAATGATGTAATAAGAACTATTAGTATACAAATGTTACAATACCAAAGGCTCTTCTTAACTATATAAACATCAACCTGTCACATTTGGCAGGATGAATAATGAAGTTTAAATGGAAATTATTGTTCAATAGAAGTTTTAGAAAGTGTATGAAATATAAAATATTTGAATCGTTGCGTCAATATGAGGATTATCAAATGTAGCCGTTGGACACAGTTTTAACCAATCGAATCACTCGGGTATACTCAATTGTCGTATAAAAAAATACTCTATCGGGCGTACTCAGTTCTCAAATGTTGTATTGCAATTATATATTAAGTTACGAATATCGGACAAAGTATTATCAACTTTATAAAATAATACAATGAACTATAATTTTAGTTTTATTTTGACAATTCTTGTCGTATTCATGTGATGTCCTTCGATACTTATTTCGTAAATAACTAATATTTTATCAATAAATTAATAATTGAAGTAAATGTATTGTATATTCTATTGTTTTGACTGGAAATAATGGGGAAGCCAATTTTCTTCTATGATTGAGAATTAAAAAATTCCCTCGAAGAGTGAAACCTTCTTTCTGACCATAACCATTGACATTTTAAAGAAATAATGTATACCATTTATTAATAAATATTAAAACTCATTCAAACCTGGATGTCAACAATGGTGGAATAGTCGCCGGGTTTATCCAGAGAATAGAAACCACCATACTCCATCAATTGTCGTACTATCTCATTTGTCACCTGCAAATTTATGATTATGGTGTCATTAGTTAGGTTGAACAGAAATTAAAGTAATTTCACGAGTAATTTAAATAACGGGAATTCCCAGAAAATAAAGTACGTGCACATAGATGTGACTAAATATTCAATGCAATATTAAAGAGAATTATACCATTTTTTGTTGTTCTGTGATTATTTTATGTGTGTGTTCATTGTATTCAACTGAGTGTTCCAGAATACATTAAACCCAGTTTAATTTATTAATGTGTACCTGTGTGTGGATTTACACTTATCAATTCAACAGACCTCACTGCCCTGAGAGGTATTATTAAGCTCACAAGATCATGATATCCGCGGTTTCCCAACAGGCGTCTAGGAATTACTAGGCGGAATTACTAGGTCGATACCGAAACCCGTTTAAAAGTTACGAGGGTGGCCCAAAGTTGGTAGGACTCCCTGTATACTGGCAGAAATTCCTGTAGAAAGTATTTTTGGGTAATCTTTCAATTTCACCGCAACACTTATAGCAGCAGACTTTCAGGCGCATTTCTATTACTACATGTACAAATGGAACAGATAGCTTGGTTTTCAAACGAGAAATTTTTGTATAATTGTAACACTTGTAACAGTTAAGTATGTACGTATTAGAAAGTTTAAAAAAATATGAAATAAGAAAAGCATCACATGGAAACAATGGTATGCGACCAATAAAGTGTGCATTATTTAATTACAACGTAATGTTACTGGTTTTCAATAATACTGGGATAAAAAATTAGAACTAGCATTATTCATAATGCTTTCGTATTTGTCGTAATTCAATGGAATATTGAATGCGAACCTGATCTCCCCACTCGTTGATGACAGGCATGTTGATATCGTCGATAAAGACGGTCATTTTACGGTTCCCGGGGGGTCCATACGTCGTGCCTACGCGCTTGTCCACGTAACTTTCGATGATACGCTGGAACATGTTGGGCGTACTCGCGGACGAGAAGTTAAAGCTCTTGAAAATCTGCACCTCGGGGTTGTACTTGGACGTGTAGCCCTTCACCATCACTGTCTTCGCCGTGCCCTGCTCACCGATCAGCAGCACCTGTGAATTTAAATTCTGCTCCGTTGAACCTGCACACATATTGAATAGGACTCAAGGAATCGAAACATTAAAGTGAGGTTTTCCTCGTTTTTTCTATTTAAATTAATCGTATTTAAATATAATAAATTAATCTATTTAAATTAATCTTATTTTTCTATTTAAATTAATCATATTCCAAAATTTTGAATTTTCTGATGTACATCAATTGTATCTGGTTCTTTGAGATCGTTTTTATTTTTCCATTAATAAAAATGAAATATAATAAATTTACTTAAGGAGATAAATTGAAAATGTTCATATAATTATGGCGGATGATTCTATGGTACACACCAATTATTTGAATAAGCTATCTTTCTGAAAATGTTAAATTAAAACTATTTCAATTTCAACAAAAGAGAACATTTATTCATAATGATTAAAAAATGCACAATATTGTTTTATAACTGAAGATAACAATAAAACTTGTATTTAATTTAATAATTATCTATAACAATACTGGCGGTCCGGATGACTGAGATCGCTAATGGAGTAGTGCCTAGCGATCTCGCGCCGAAGGATCGAGTCCCGCCTCGGGCATGGTTGTATTGTGTTCGTCCTTTCACACCCCTATCATCATCATATCATGACATCATCATAGTTACCACACCGTTACAAGCAATACTGGTCGCTAATGACCTAGAAGTTGATACGATCTTAAATAACAAAAAAATTGCAATACCATATTTGTCTTCTTCACCTTGCAATAACAAACGTTCTTCCTCGAAGTTCAATCACGTATACAATTCATATATAGACTCTCCTAAATATTCTAGTCGATTTAACTTTGTGCAATACTGTACTCAATCAAATACACCACAAATATGGCATTGCATTTCTTCCATCAAATTCTGCACTTTATTTTCACGGCTCCGACTGAAGTGTTCTATTTAATTTTTTGTCCTTGTCCAAAACACATATTTTTTCTTGTTGTTGATTTTTGTTCGTCTTCTCAAGTCGACAATCTCCATGACATCAAAACATCGCCAACCTGTGATTTTATTCCGGAAGACCGCGTCTATACATACGAAAGTCGTACATAATAGTCTTGACGTCAAATAAAGAAAACATTTTAAACGTAATTTCGACTCATTACAATACTTCCCGTTAATAATAATACTCGTTAGTCGTAATACTCGTTACAAGCCTAATAAATTCCGAAACTGTCTTATGTTAAAAAATAAATATCCTATTACAACAAATAAACTACAAGTATAATTACTTACCGCCTTGCTCTGCTTGGCAATGTTGTCGATAAGGAAGCCTGTGCGGACATTGTCAACGTTGGGGACCAAGATGCTGGAGTAATCGGGCACTGTGTCACTTGGATAGATATACTCCTCAACCTGTTCGTTCCAATGAGTCCATTGGCCGTTGCTCCCCACCATGTATTCAAATATTGTCTCACCAGGCTGTAAACATCACACAAGACCACATTCCATTATAGAAGAGTTCAATCGCTATTTTTCAAGTTTTTCTCATTTCTTCGTTCCAAATGCTAAGCCGCTGTCATTTCAAGAAATCGGAGACACTTTGATGGTTTTAATGACATATTTTAATTACTACAATGGGAGGTTTTGAGAAACAAGTATCATGGTTTGAAATACCGAGGAACATCATTACTAGCTAGTTCTAATTCTAAGCCCTCAGTTCCCAAACTACTGTGTGTCTACAAGTAAGATCGCATTTAGTGATATCAAACAAGTAATTTTATGGCCTTTTTCGATTATGTTCCTCTATGACGAATAGGAAATCATTTTTTGCTGACTGACTGTCTCATACTTTCTGTATTGGCCTGAACTCTGCTACATCCTACTTGAGGAACATTCGACTTTTCTAAATGGATATTTGTATCTTTTAAAGTAAATTGTTTTGTGTGCACAACGTTAAATAAATCCAACATTTTACCTCTGTAAATGTTGCTGTTTTGAACCATCACTACCTGATGTTCGTTCCGGTAAATGTTTTGTCAACAAGTAGGTATGTTATAAATCGGCGTTATGCTGCTATCGTGGGCTACCTACTTGAATAACTTCATCAAGCGACACAAGAATTGAATCCTCTTTGAACTGAGAAAGTAAGAGGTACGCCCAAACACAAATGCATAGAAATGCGAAATTAATTTATCTGAACACGAAAGCGAAGATACACCCTTTAAGTCTCATTTCAACTTTCATTGGCATACCAAAACGAGTAAACAGCAGCGTTTCACAGTATTATACGCATGAAGCCAACCGCTTTCCATATTTCCAGCTCACAAAAAGATATAGATAATGGTGAAAAATCTACAAACTATAAAATGATAAAACCAATAGTTAACAACATATTTCATACATCCAAAATATTTTTCGAACAACTAATGTAATGCCTGTGTACAATTTTAATGAAGATATTACAAATTAGATGTCTCCAATATTTCTTCTATCGTATGCAAATCTCAATTCAACTGGTTGCAATCATCAATTTAATTGGTTGAACCATCGCAGATCATGTCTTCAAACTCCCATTTTATAAGTGAAATTGAACTTTTATTACAAACATGGCCATTAATGTGCTTAGAACACATAAACTATTTATTTCAGAGATATTCAACAGCATACATTTCAATAACAAAATATGCGAAGTTTCTTTAGCTTTAAACATTTGATCCTCACTCACATTAATGAACACTGTTTTCAAAAGTAACTTAATTTACAGAAAATTAGAATAATATCATTTAGAGATGTTTTCAAATAGCTCAGTGGTTTAATGCATAAATATATAACCATCTGTATACTTGTAAAATAGGTTCTTACAAGGAATAATGCAGTAAAACTATTATAAAATGTAACCCTAACATACAACTTATTAACTTTCTCGGTATTTGATAATGCGGAATTCAACAATGAAGATTTTCAAGCATTTCTCATTTTAATACCAAGATTGGTGATTGTTGGTGGTATCACCCCCGGTGGATGGCAAAATCCGCCTCCAACCTACATGTCGACTTGCGGGGTTTCCCTCAGCGATGTATTTCCCACCAGCGAGGGGGGGGGGACAGCGCCCCCAACTGGAACAAACTCTAAGCCCGACCGCGCGCGGTCCGTGGCCCGTTTGGTCGGGTAATTCTCCGGTATTCGCCTGGTGTTGATTGGAGAAACCACGGATATCTACTGATCAGAGCAGCAGTTCGTTAGAATTCTCCTCCAGACAGCGGCTGAATTCTATCTATCTGCCAATGTCGAAAATCTTCCACAGACATTTGATGCCCTGAGCGTTCGACTGACGGGGGTACAGTCCCGTCCTCTGGCAATAGAGACATTTGAATTTTTTTTAACAATGTCTAAAAGCTTCTATCGTGGACTTTAAGTCGCCCTAAACAGTTGTTCGAAAAGGGAGAGAGGTGGTTGAACTCCTCACGCATAAAAGGCAGACGAGCAGGACGTACCCTGGTTTTGGGCCAGTCAAGTTTGGAGGGGTGCTCCAAGACGAACTCTTCCATTTTATCTCGATCTTCTAACTCGAGGACTGCGCCCAGACTCCACATGAGAGTGAAGAGGAAAAGGCGCCCCAGGTGCTGGTCCGAGTGCTCGTCAGTGCCGTCCAGCAGCAGTCCTTGCATCACGTCCGTCGCCTGAGAGAAGCACAACATTCCGTTATCTTATTTCTCTACTTCTCTGATAAAGAATCCACTGCTCAACAGGATGGAAAATTTCACATTCATGATCAGTTAATATATTAATTATAATTAATTATTAATACTTATATTAGTATAATAATAAATTATATGTACTTATAATTTATTATTAGTTATAAATCTAGTAATTATAATGACTATTTATAATATTATAATTAATAAATAGTATTTAAAAAGAAGAGTCACACAAATTGAATCTTCTAAAATTAAATTATATTTTATGTATTATCATGTGTTTAGTAGGAAATGACAACTGAAAACTATTCAGATGATAATGAATAAAACAACTCCTGAAATGAAACCGTTTAGTTATATATGAGCTTAATGACGTGTATAATGATTATTTTCAGTTTATGCTTTTATAAAATATGAGCCAAACCCAATAAATTTCAGAAACATCTATGAGTCACCAAAAATTATATGATACTCAAAATATCTTAAATACCTGCATATTTGAAGTGTTTTCCTTTTTTTGCCACTAACCAAGTAACTACACTCAGAATCTTACGAAACTGAATACAACGATTCGCATTACTCATTCAGTAATATAATCAATGTACAGCCCAACTCAGTAGCTCAAAGGAAAATAATTCAGAAAGAGACGTTAACACTGAGGAGAACGCGGCTTCGTAGGAAACGTAGGTTCTTAATTATTATCAGGAAGACAAAAACGTACCTGACGTATGTAGATGCTCTCAAGAATTTTCATTTTGGCTTTGAGTTTGACCTGAACGAAGCCGTGCAGATCGCCGTAGATCTTATGGAATAGGTTGCGCATCACTCCACCTTCGGCATCCGGCCTCGTCAGGAGCCAGCCATCCAAGATGGGTGGCCAGGGCAACGACGAAGCCGAGATGAACACCATGCCCATACGACTCACCTGCCAAGACAGCAGAATGCAGCTATCCGTCATATCAGCAAACAAAAATTCGTCCTGAAACTAAATGTCTCATGAGTACAATCCATGTCGTAAAGGAACTGTTTACACTCAATGAGCATGTCTGGCCCAAGGTGGTGCCTGCAAGTTCCAAGAACTGAGCTAAAAGGAGAAGATACTTTTCAAGAGAGGTAATTAATCAGTATCTGAGTCTATTTTTAGTCAATATACTGGCCCAAGGGACACTTTGTGTAGAAAACGTGAGTTTAGACCTTATCTTGAACCCATCGTAAACGAAAGGTTGCCCTGCGCTTGCCTCGTCCCTTCCCACGGATTGATCGTGTATGAGTCGCTAATATGTACAACGGTGGTCTAGTGGATATTTTGTCTTTCTATGGTCATGAACTGTATACGGAACACATTGATAGATGTTATCGAATGATGCACCGTTCATTATCACCGATGCATTAAGCACTGAAACTCTTACCCGCATGTCATACATTTTGGAAATTTTAACAAACCGGTAACTTCATCTTGCGTAAATTTGGCGAGCAACACTTTCTCTTACGGAATTTTAGTGCGATGGTCACAATGGCGCAAACTAGCTGTCACTAGAGTGATAACCTCTGAAACATGCCAGGACCTAAAAAAGTTTGAGCGTCAGTTTTGTATTTGCCATAGTGTTACTTTAAAAACAATATTGTAACATTTGCCTTTTACAACGTTGGTATGTTGAGATAAGTTTAATAAATTTTAATAACTAAAATAAAACTATGAAATAAGTAGTACGCGACATTTTCATTTGAACTTGAGGCAAAAATAGAATTGCATGCGCCAGAAAATTAAGAAGAAGCTACCGTAGCCGGAGACGCGTTGTCCACGTTGTCCGGCTCAAAGAGCAGTTTGCTATTTGGTGCCATAGTGATGCGATCACCATTGGCAAGCGTCAACGTCTTGTTGTCGTCAAGCACGGAATTCAAGTTCTCGATCCAGACGGCGTCCACAGGCCCGTCCAGCACCAGCCACACATTCTCCGTGGGTTTCACCTAAACAACACAATTCGATTAATGCTGCGGCCGTATTTCGTTAATGATATTCTCGTAAGTTCGTGCTGTGTTTTGACCATCGTCCCATTACGGTGTGGACCAAAAGTTACACTCTCAATTATCTCTATTTTCATTATTTGATTTTAAAAACTATGACCATGTAATGTTTCAACTGTTGAATATAAGTTAGAAGAATTCACCTTTCTAAACTTTTATTTGAAATTACATTTTAATCATATATGTAGACAGTAATATGACACAAAACTATCAAAATTATTTTGTAATGATTTCTTCTAAGGCGTTGCGGGACATTAGAGTGTTTGAAAATGATATATAATATTTTTCGAGTTCGTGAACGGTTATTTGAAATATTCGGGAAGTAAGATGTATAGTTTGTTTTCCTTCACTGGTAAACTATTGTTCTTAATATCGCTAGAAAACGTTATGAAATTATGTGAGGAAATTCTGAAGAAATAATCAGGAATCAGTTGCCATTTAAATGTTTTTAAAACGTTTTTATTTCGTGTAATTTCTTGTTTAGATACCTTCAAAGTTTTTCTCCAGAGGGTTGAGAATATCCCATCAGTCCAGTCGTTGGTGGCCACATCCAGCCTCCCGAACATCTGTGGCGCTGTGATGGCCTTCGGGTTCATGCGCATCTCCCTAATGAATTCGAGGAGTCAGGATATAGTAGGGCAAGAAATGTCATAAACAGTTCCATTCCAAAAGTAAAATGTTAAAACGTATCAAAATAAGTTCAATATTTACTTAATAATAATAATAGTTATTATTATTATTATTATTATTATTATTATTATTATTATTTTAGTGATGACGAGGTTCAGATCGTAGGACCTACTCCTCCTCATAGAACTCGAATGAATACACATTCATACGAAGGCGAAACGTGTAAGAAAGGAGGGCAAGCTCTACATTTACGTATTTACGTCTCTTAAGTTAAATACGTAAGTTAAAGCAAGGCACTATTCTGGCATACCCATTATGCGTACTCAGAAAAACTACTCTCAGGCATCTTAGGGCCGAAAATATTTTATATCTGCTATGCGAAGGTGGTTAAACAAGCACTGTACACTCTGGTGTACGTATGTGATTAAAGAAAGAATTAAATTAAACAAGCACTGTACACTGTGAATTAAACAAGAATTTATCAATCCACATAAATTATCTCACTAACGTACGCAAGGATAATAGTGACTGAAAAATAGTTACTTCAAATAAATAAAGTAATTATAAAACGTTTTTCAAATATTACTTCTCTTGATCAGTTTGAAAAGCCTAACTTCGCAAATTTATGTCAGACAAATAAACACATATAATCGATTCAACAAAAGAGTAAGAAGCAATATGGATTATTCTTTGAATCTGCTGATAGCGTATACTCTACTGCTCATAACTTTAAAATAATGTGAAAGCCCGTATCTCGCTTACATGTGGAATTTCTCTACAGATTCTGGGATACGGTGGTTGCGTAGCAATATAAAAATTTACAATCTTAGGGAATTTATTTACGTATTATTTGGATTTCATGTTTGAAGTACAAAATTGTAGGTAACTCAATTGTTAAGACTGCGAAATATTACTTAGATGAATTGGGAGAGCATTAGTAGAAACTGAAACGAGCGTCGTCTTCTATGTTCTTATCATACGCGAAAGTTCTGAAAAAAAGCGACTCATAATTGACAAAGATTATTACTTTGCCGATATAATCAATGAGTATTAAAGAAAATGTCATGGTTACCTCTGGACGAAAATAAACGTTTTCCTTTTCCGTTTTCCTCGAATTTCGCACTCGCTGCTTATGCACGCCTCTTTCCTGCCGAGTTTTGGAGTTTGAGGACCCGGAGGCTACAGAAATTTGCTGGCGCAAACTTTACATGCGCCCAGTAACCGTTTCACTTAGCTTCGGTGCACGATCGTCACGAAACTGCTCGCGGCTCCTTTGATTTTCAAACAATGCGAGCTCGTCGCGTCTGATGTAGAAAAAATTGGATTTAGGGAAATATGACAATGAGTAAATATTTTGTCACAGCCGCCAAAGAGGTGGTGAGAACTATTTGTGACTTTTCGAAGCAGTAAAAGCAATTGGCAATCGATTTCAAAGAACTTTGTACAAAAAATAAGTATTTGGTCAACTGGGAAGGAATTCGCACGGGTATTTGAGCCAGTTTAGACTATCTCCGAGGGCGGGCTGTTTGAAATGTATGATCTTTTCTTCTAAACTGCCTTCAAAGAGCGGAGAAACTGAGGTGTTATAAGCGTGGCGCCAAATTTGAATTAATATGGCCACTCATGTTCCATCACAATATTTAAAAAATGTAATGTGGGATTCTCAATATTTCCATTCAGTTAAAATGGAAGGCACATGCCAATGTATACTTTCATGTCTCTGACCTGTGGGGTTTCCCCATCTCGGTCATGGCGCGCATCAACGTGTGGATGCACGATGTCTTGCCGGCGCCCGTCGGCCCCAGCGCCATCAGCCCGTGCCGCACCAATGATGTTTCGTAGAACTGGACTACCTGCACGCCATCAAAAATTGCTTCCATGACTATGCAATTCGATTCAAACTTTTAACATAATCTCCTTTTCATTGTGCCGCATTGTATGATCCAAACGCTGAATTTCATTTTATAAGCATTTGGCTGGTACATATTGCCATATGACAGGACTGGAGGAACATTTTCAGTGGAAATTGAATGAATCTTAAGAGCCTATCTTCACACTATGCCTAATAAAGTCATTTATTGAGACTACTTTCTTTAAACCTATTATGTGTATTTTTAAATAGATCTTGATTTTTCCCCCCAAAGATAAATACTAGACAACGAGAAATTTAAAACGTTAAAGGAATCTGTGTGGAATATTTCCGATCCGTCCACCCACCTTCAGATTCCAGCCGGGATGATTGATGTAACCGTATTCGGCGCAGGCGTTGGCGATGCCGCGCTGCAGTTCTTTGTACGTGGAGGTAGTGAGCTTGATGCCAGGGAACAAGTCCTCAATCAGTGAGAGAAACAAGGGTTCGTCCTCATCCACCAGCTTGGACAAGTTCATGTCTCGCAGCACTCGCATCACTGTGGTGTCCTCCGAATCGGTGGGATTCGCTCTTTTCTGCGCACCCAGCGTACGCAGCACGGACAGGATGTTGCGCAGACCAAAGTCGTAGTGCACCTTTGAAACGGAAACAAATACACGTCGGATTTTTCATCAATATCTTAAATGTTATTTTGCGACCGCAAACTAGTAGGGTGAGTCGAGGTTACAAAATTGAGGTAATTTGATACACTTCAAGAATGGTTACTTCTTGACATACAAAATTAATAAAAAAAGAAATATATCTATTAGAGCGAGCAGTACGACAGTACGCCAGCCATTTCTCGCTCTGCCTGAAAATCCGTTTAGGCGACGATGCGCTAGAAAGGTTCGTTTGCACATAGAACACGGGGAGTTTTTTTTTTTTGTTGAGAAGATTCCATCCTTTACTCTATTCATCAATCTGCCTATTATCACGTAATTCTAAATGTGGAATAGGTAAAGAAGTATCCTCAGTTTTGGAATTCATATTCGAAGGAACTCCTTTTGTTTTAGCACAGAGAAGTCTGCCAACACTATGATCATTTGAAACAACTTTGACATATATTGCAGCACCATAAGCAGTGACGCTGCTGTAAAAAAACATGAAGTTCAATTTTCGCATTGGCGAAGCGAGTGACACAGTGAGGGAAGCTGACCTTATTAAGTAAGGTAGCGAGTCAAATACATGTTGCCATTGATTAGAAGTTTCGGAGGGAATAGGATCAACCTACTTTAATCGGTATTCCCACAAAGTTTCGCAAATAATTACAAATGGAGCTAAAATGTCTAAGAATTCAAACTACAAATAACAGATAAAACACTTTTTTTAACCTAAACGTTCTAACAATAAATTCATGTAATTCAATTGACAAAGAATCCAAGTTGTTATTCCAAGAAATACCCAGCACATTTACGTGTTCGTTTTGACGGAAATATTCTAACACTGAAACTAGCTAACAAATTTGTGTGCATTTCTTTTGACTGAAATATTCTATTACTAGAACTAAATAACAAATTTGTCCACTAAAGCTTCCGAGCTGTTGGATGCCCACTTTATGAAATTAAACCCGCCTGATGTGAGAATGTGGATTAGCTGATTGACTGCTTCCTTCGCGGAAGGGACGTCATCACAAGATGACGCATACAGAATACACATTTTTTAAACAAATAAACACATTTCATAAACAACTCTCCTTTTAAATGGAAATAATAGGGTAATGGATTGGGAAACGATGGATATTAACATGCGAGTGTTCTCGCATGGACACGCTGTTTTTTTTATTATTGCCATATCAGCAACGAAACGTATCAAAGCTTGTAACTACGTTTCATTCTAACGTACCTGCTTGCTGAGCTGTTCTTCGCACAGCTTGTACAGCGTGAAAAACTTGCGCGAGAGAGGAATGTTCTCCAGGAAGCCGCAGCTGGCCAGCTTCACTCGCATGATGATCATGCGGTCGGGCACCATCATGGCCACGGTGCGGAAGTTGACCTTCAAGTTCTCAGGGAGCTCTTGGCGCCCCGCGTAGCCCGGGTTCTGCGAGCATGCGCATCAACTCTGCCAATCCGAACCGAGATGGGCGGTGACTTATGTTGGGAGATTACTTAAGTTTATTTTCGTTCATGCCTTATTTTAGATGGCCAGACTCGGACCATCAGGCCCGCTACGACCGTGCAAATTTTGCTACGTTCTTTTCACCATCTAGTAAAGAAGACAGGAGACGAAACAGGCGATTTAAATTTAGCGCACAGGCTTCTTTTGGGCTTGAAGACCTTTTACACGCAGTAAATATACTACATGGGACAGTCGGCTTTACGTCCCCTCCGAAGGAAGGAGTGGGAAGGATTTCTTCGATGCGGTAACCATTATAACATCGAAGCCACGGATTGAGGTGAAGCCTGATATTGTGGCCAAAGGCCAAAGGCCTCAAAAATGCGTTTCTCATACCATAATCTTTTTAAACATTCTATTACATTTTTTTCTGGGGTGAGGGCGGAGAGGGAGAGGAGAGACGAAGAGATAGGAAGGTAGATAAAGGGCTGAACAACGTCTGCTGGGTTTCGCTAGTACGACAGGTAAAATAGAATTTTCATCTATATCAGTGAAAAGCTTAATAGAGTATTATATACTTTTATCTAAACCAGTAAAAATGTTACTAGAGGGATCTTGCGACGGGAATAAAATTAGTGGTGCTAAAACAGCACGTACTTTCTCGTCCGTACTCTCTTGCAAAAATACGCGAAAAGTACTCGAATATTCAAAGCACATTGTGCATGATGTTCATGAGTTTTGTGCCAAAAATTGCCTTTTTTTGCGTAGTTTTACATAACTTTCTCTCTACTTCGTAGCAAAAAATTAAAAAACCAAGCGTTTCGCATGCTCTGCTATATAAAAGTGATATCGCTTAGCTCTGTTGAATTGCGTCCTTTACGTGAAGTGTGCAATACATTCCCCAATAACCATAAGCGTCATGACCACATACTGCCACTTGGATTTTGAAGTACGCTTTGTTTTCTCTGTTCTAGTTTGTCTAAAAGTTTCCTTGGTATGCTTTTCTTTAAAATTAGTTTTAACCCACTTGCAAATTTATTTACTATTTGCACAAGTGATGACTGCCACATTTTATATCATTATTAAACAGCATTTGGTTAAGTAAAGTAAGAGATTATTCACAGTTATTGATCTAAATTGGGGGCTTTGTCTGAAAGTAACAAGAAGAAATAATTCGAATTAATTTTACGTGTGTTGGCTATATTGTATTGGGGCTGGGACTCTCCGTTTTACTATTGTCATTTCGCCAAATGGAGACTGCGCATGAAATATTGTCTTGCTACGTTTAAAAAAACACCCTTCAAAACGTCTATTTTAAGGATAAATAATTACCTGGGTAGGTCTGTGATTAAAAGCTGGTATTTTGGTAGTTAAATGCTAGGTGAAAGGAACAGCGTGGGCTCTTTGATATTCGGTGCTATTGTGGTTCAGCAAACATGATGCTACTACGAACTTGTCTTCAAAAAATGCACTTAAAAATGTCAAGCTTTTGACCATGATTTGTTTCAACTGTTACAATTGTTTAAGTAATAACATCGAAACAAACTATTATTTGGGAAAACTATCTCTAACTTAATGTCTTACAAAACGAATACTTCCAAGTTATTGTCAACTGGTGCTAAGCTCATCTGGTTGTCGAAAAACTACGTTTCGCGGAACAATGAAATTTTCGACGATGCTTAACATCCGCTGGCTGCAACCGAGTGGAGTGTACAGTTATTCGGAACCACCAAGCAAATCTCGGCCGCCCTGTTGACTAACGGGGAGCGACGCCTCACCATGGTGATGAACAGGCCGAACTCCGGGTTGAGCGAGACGTTGTCGCCGTCTGTGAAGATGAACATGGTCTTGCGCTCCTTCTTGGCTGCGAGCACGATGGCGATCTGCTGCGCGGCCACGGACAGCACGGGCAGCTCGATGCGGTTGAACTCGTCGAAGCAGCCCCACGACCCCGACTGCGCCAGCCCTGCGGCGCCAAGATTACACAATGAATGGATGATGTAACGACGGATACGAACTGTGATATTACGATATGAGCGAGTATCATAAATGTCACACAAGCGTATTTATACCCATCATGACATCATACGTTACTTTTTCTACGAACTGTGATAACTTTTAAAAGCTAAACTTTTACATTGACTCGTTTCGTGGCAGTTGACATTCAGGGTGTCCTGTAGATGTTCCTGATGAATGCGGAGCGGCGCTGCTTTAGCGCTCATGAACACAGCAGCGCTGATGATTTCGCAACACATTCTCTCTCATACCTTTAATTGTTTATCGCTGATCCAATATAACCGTACCCTTAAGGCTAAATGCACCGAAAAATACTAGTAGGAAAATTCAATAAATCGCAGCACTAACACAGGGGAATTTACTTTACTGATAACGTCTGAATCAATGGTCCGATTTTCGATTTGTAAATGGCATTTAACGCCTTTTTAAAATAGAATTTACGCTACGACAATCTTTTTACAAAAATACAGCAAAAACGCGAATTTGAAATTAGTTCTCAAACTTCTGAAAACAAATTTACAAATGTGGCCGTATAGCGCGATGGCGACATGCTTGCTGAATCCAACGCCGTGACAATCATGCAAATTGGACGAATAGGAAAGTCGTAAAGTGAAATTTACAAAAACACCTCGCCCCCCCCCCACTTCCCCTTCTGCGCCGATGCGTCACACACCCGCCCGTCGTGGGCCCTCTGTCAGCGCGCTGGCACGGCCAGGCCCGGCGTCGTGCGGCCAGCCCCGGCGGACTGACGGAGGAGGCAGTACTTGCGGGACACGCAAGCCACACACTCGGTTTATGCGTTCGTCACTTTGGATCTCAATCTATTTTTCCACGGATATCAAACTAGCACTAGAGATTCTATACTGCTATTACCCGGACCGAGGTAAACGGTCTGTAATAATACTACATTAACTATGCTTTTTCACATATTTCCGTCTTCCTTTGAATACAATTTAAAAAATTTTTGATGCCATTACTCAAAATATTGATCTGCCGTGACTTTTGCACATTATTTAAAAAAACAAGGAACTAATTTGGCTGTAAATATCCAGCATTACCT